GACGAACAATTAGGTGTCTCTTTACTTGTGACCACTCAGGGTATATGTCAGTTGTAGAAATTGAATATTAATATAAAAATGTATATGGTAAGAATCATAGAATTTGTGAGGAACACTACTGGTTGAAAGAAAACTGTCCAGACAAAGCGTAAATCTAGCAGATAAAGGAAAGCTTCGTTATTGATTACTGTTGTTTGAACTCTTTCATTGGTGTTCATTCTATGTCACCTCTCCTGACTAGTCGAGAAATAGTCACTTTATACAGCTTTTACACTAAGAAACAACCATTTTCCTCTATCATAGATTATCACTTACAAAACCATGTTTAAGGCAGGTAACAAATTGATTAAATTATACACATTTTGGACAATAACTTGGAAAAGACAAAAAAATGCATAAATGCAACCCTGAAAATGAGATTTTCCTTGTTACTTTTTAGATACTTGTTTTTAGTATGTTATCAGTATAATAGTTAAGCAATAGATAAGTGCATAGGTGCTAACTAATAGATGTAATCTTACATGATCATTAAGTAGATAACTTTTAAAGACACTTCTGACAAAGAAATTTCAAATAACTAATTTTATTTGATTATTCATTCCTCCAATTTTTATAAATTACTTATTATTATTTTTATACATAAAATACTGGGATGAAAATATTTGAAAATAGTTTGTTTTGTGTATTTTGCTGTGTTGTGCTGCTGGGAGCTCACAAGACTTTTATTATTATTTACAGTTAAATAATATATCATTTAACACCGTATAACCACAACACTAACTAAGTTCTAAGGTTTTTTATTTGTTTCAGATCAATATCAGTTTCCTAAGAGCAGTGCCGTGTTTAGTAGCTTTGCGGCCTCCCGCAAAAATTACCTTATGGGCCTCAGGGGGTGGAGAGTCATAATCACGTGACGATGGACCCGCCTTCAAAGTTATGCAATTACAATCAAGAGAATACTAAAGCTTTTAATACAGTAAACGTATCTTCACGAAATTTTGAAGATTATCATTAAACGTTACAAGGCTTTCGTATACAAAATATCATATTTTTCTATTAAGTTCTTACATTTTTTAAAGTAATGATTTGCTCGTGCATTGTTTCTTTATGAATATTGACTGTCCAACATTCAGGGTAATTTTGATTTTAAGATTAAAAATACTTTTGTGCATCAAAAAATTGTCAAATTTCACATGATAACCTCTTGATAATTGTCAAACGTTTTTGTTTAGAAAAAACTTTACCATCAGAAAAAATGAAAAATAGATATATATATCAACGCATTTTTTTGCGTTTTAGTATGACCGAGTAGTTTGAAGTTTTGAATAAGCTTCTAAACATAATCATAATGAAAAACATCATTTTGAAAAGCATAGTATTTTTTTTACAAAATTAGCTTGAGTGTTTCTTACCTTATGATCTGATGACTCCCAACGAAGTAAATCGACAACTTGTCGATATGCTTCTACCAAAAGCCAAAACTGAAGTAATTTACTGGTAACAGGCCTAATACGCATGGCTTAACACATGACACCACGTAGTTTTTAAAGGAAAGAACTTTTCTAAACTGGGGCGTTTAGGGATATTACTATCCCTCTTCGCCCATCTCGCGATAATTTTGTTTGTTGCATTCGTGGGATTTTAAAATTTGTGCTGGAGTGGTTGGTTCCACGTTGCCTAGTGAGATTAAAGACTTATGAAGATCTGAGAGAAGCAGAAACATGTTCGGCTGGTTCCAGGGAAGAGAGCAAGTCCAAGGCCATTGACGTGACGTCGTTGAGAAGAAGAAAAGAAGAAGCAAGGCGACAAAGTAATCCAGTAAACTTCTCATGATCATGGCCACGGGGTGGCTGGGATCTGTAAATCCAATGCCACGGCTGGGATCATTAGATTCAAATGCCTTTGAATTTGCTGTGGGGGGAAACGGGAATACCCCGAGAAAATCCACTTTCACAAGACAGGCGCCGAATATTCTATCTGTACTGTATCCAGTGTTGAAATGAGAAAAACCCAAGAAATTGTTAGTTTTATACAGAGAATTTAGTATTAAGCTTGTATCAGAGATTGTTGTACTTTTGTAGGTAGATTTGAAGACCAGATATATGTTGTACGGGGACACTGTTTTGTGATGGGCACTAGTCATGGTGTGTAACTGGCAGTTAAGGTCTTTCTTGTTTTTGCTGATTGGTAATATTTATGGGCTGGTGCTGTTAGTCCGTTTTTGAATAATGGGATGTTGTTAGATTTGTGGATATATAACTGATCGGGGTAAATTTTGGCTGTCTGGGAGCTAATCTTATAACTCTGTTTTGCTGGAGTGTATAGTGATTTAGCAATATTTGTAGGCGACTTGAGAGCCGTATTCTGTTAGGCCGTATTCATACATACGCTTTATAGATTTTTATGATAGTATTAGATTTGCATCCTTCATTGTTTCCTGTTATGAGCTTCAAATGGTTAATTCTTTTGCTAATGTATTTACTAACATGTTTAAAATGTTGTGTCCAGGTGAGTCGTGTGTCAAAGATTATACAGTGTACTTAGAAATTTCGCATGAGGGTATAGCTTTATTTCGTCGTTACTTAGTTTAAGTTTTACTTTTTAAAATGTTTTTTGTAGCGTTTTTTTGAGCTGTGTTTAAATGCGATTCCAATACTTTTATGGGGTTTGGAGGACTCGCCAGTTGTTACACCAGTTTAGGATTTTTGAACTCTATTGCTTGCTATTAGTGGGTTGCGTGATACACTCCATAGGGAAATGTCGTCTGCGTAAGTGTATGTCAGATCAGGGAAGGGTATGTTATTTACAAACAGTATGTATAGTAGAAATGATAAAACAGATCCTTGTGGTACTTCTCCGGTGATGTTGAATGTATTGGGTAGAGTGTTATTTATTTTAACTGTTGCAGTTCGGTTGGTTAAAAAGTCGGAAATCCATTTGATTATTTTGTTGCTAACATTCATGGAATATAAGCGGTATCTAAGGGCATTATGCCACACCCAATCAAAAGCTTTTCTGACATCTAAGAAGACTTCTATTGTTACTTAATTGCTATTGAAGGATTTATATATTGATTCTGTGAGTCTGGATAGATGATCTGTGGTCTTTCGTCCTTTTCGTGAGGAGTTCTACATGTAAGGTATTAGGTTGTGATACTTTTCTGTGTATTATATCGACAGGAGGTTGATCCCGACCACGCTCTCTCAGGGGATGTCGGCAAGACCGCGTCGGTCTCTTTGATGACCCGAGTGACAATTTTCATGCCCAATTAATATGAAGCCGCCGTTTTACAATATCTAGCTACAGGGTTGGTATCTGGACATTTTAAGTAAAGCCTGCTGACAAACCTCGCGACTTTTACTAGTATTGAAAAGTAAATGTAATTTCTAATGTGAAATCGTGAAGTGAATGAAAAAAAACTTGAAAATTCATATACAAATGCCGAATGAATAAAGAAAGAATTATGTTTTATTAAAAAGGTTTGTGGATTTTAATATTTTAAAGAACTATGTTTTTTATTTTCCAGGGGGGGGGGGCTAAGTGCCCATCCTTGCAATCCACTACGAACGCCCATGCGTAGAAAAGTGTATAAATATAGAATTACGTGCTACTGGTGTTTTTTTTTTTACAGTAGCAAGTTGTTGCAGAATAAGAATAAGAAAAAAATGCAAAGAAAAAGAGACAACAACTGCAATAATTTTGGAAATAAATACTAATAATATAAAAAAAAACTGAATATAAAGATCCATGTTGTCCGAGAATTTTCTGCTAAACATATATTTTCTTGCTTATGTGAATTTTTTTTTTCCATTTCTAGCATGTTAATCCCTTAGACTCTGCCCTTCCTCCGGCAACTGTGGGTGTCTAAACACAGCACTTCCTGGGTGATTTTTTGGTTACAGTATAGAAGTAGTTTAGGATTTTATTATCTTGCTGATTTTCCATCAGTTCTCTGAATCAGTAAACATCTTAAAAGCTCTTAAATACATGCCAGTTTTTCTTTAGGATAAGTTTTACTGGCCTCACCAGTAGGCTATACAGTGAAGACAACTAATTAAGAATGCATTTGATGCTCATATATAAGGCAATTAGTTATTACTGGTCATGTTCACACCCTCTTCCTGAAATACAGTATATTGATATACAACAAGAAAACTTCAGAAACATTAATTTTAAAATGTCATATAGGAAAGAATGTTTCAAACCTTAAATAAATAATAAAACAAATCATCCAACTTCAATCTTTTCATAAACAAAATGTACCCATTCTATGTTTTAAACAAACTGTAATACTATGTATAAAAGAGAATAACTTTTGTACATATTACATACTTATTAACATTACACATTGTTTTAAGTCTAATTTGGCTTTTTCCTGGACTTTGATAAATTAATTTTAATCTGGAACACACATAAGTACAGATTTTATATTTCAGAGGAGGCTTGTTCTATATCTAACAGATATTAAATCAACTACATTTTAATTTCTTTATTTGATTCATTTCATAGCTCTTTCTAGTTTTAAAAATGCTGTGGGTGACCCCATTTGTATTTCACAGCAGAATATTAATAAAACAGATGTTGTAAACTATTAGCTCTTATCTGTACAATCTTTCTCTAAAAACTGTTCTTTAAACATCAATGTGCAAAAAAAAAGTCTTTAAAAAAATCTATGTATTTATGACTGTTCACATACATTAGAATCTTTATGCTAAATTCATCAGCATTTTTGTTAAATTAAACATATTTAATTGGTGGAAAATTAGAACCAATGTAACTTCAAATAAATTGAAATACCATGGTGTTGATGCAGCTACAATAGTTCAACTTTAAGAACATTAATTTTTATACATATTATTTTTCATATACTTATCTAACATTTTCTCTTCTTTTTCAGCAATTTGGGCCAATTTTAGATGTTGAAATCATTTTTAATGAGAGAGGTTCAAAGGTAAGTTTGCATGTACTTTTTGTATGCAAAACATTGATGGTTAGGTGTGTATTAATATCCTCAATATCTATTTTTTTAACAAAACTTATTATTAAAATATTAATTTAATAACATAGAATTAAGAAAAATCTTAAAATGTCTAAATATTGCTATTTTAACAACATTGAATCATTTTTGAGGATTTTTATTAGTTAACTATTATTATTTAACAATTACGAATATGAGTTTCTTCAGTAAATGGTAAAAGTTAATTTACATACGTATTTGTTATCTGGTTGGTAGAAAATGTAGACTTATTTTATTTTTGCTGAAATAAAAGTTTCTTTGTTATTAAAAGAAGACTTTGGTCTTTCTTGTTTATAGATTCATATAAGAAATTCTCTTTTTTTTTGAGTATTCTGGAATCTTATTCTCTGTTCATATACAATGGTAAATGGCAAAATATAATTGCTTTTCATAAAACCTATGAAAACAAATGCAACCAGTTTTAATTAAATTTTACCTAACATTTTTGTTTTAACACTCCATCTGTGAGTCAAGGAGACATGTTTAATGAGTTGATTCCTAAAAAAAAGTTTTCTGGTACAATCTTTTTTTTTATTCTGAATAGAGATTTTAAGTGCTTGTGGCCCAATTTGTACTAATTTCTGGGTTATGAGAGTGTAAAACCCATATCCTGAATACAAAATCCCAGATAAAACATGGGAGTAGCCACACATGTTGCACAGCACAACATCTGGTTTCTCAGCTGTATAAAGCAGTTTTCTCTGCAGTTTTTACAAGTTCTATTGATAGAGATGGCCGAGGAAGGCTAAAAAACTCTTGTAAGGTAGGTAAGTGTGGCACCTGTTTGAAAATGAGCACTTTTATTATTTTGTGCAAGAGAAAAATGACTAGCCAGCCTTCTAAAGCCCTGCATCTTCATAGCTGAACACCATTGAGAGGTGAGTTCTTTTGGCAGTAAAGTGTGGTTTTTTATGTTAACAGACTGAGCTCTTTTTAGGAATACATTTTTTTGGGTTCTACTTTGAATACTGAAAACTAATGACACTCCTTGTAGCCCACTCAATTTCCTTAATTCAGTCTCATTGACTTGTAGACTATATGGTAAGAACAGTAATAATATCTTTAGTAAGAAGTTGGGAACACTTTGCTCTATATGATATATTAGCTGGATGAAAATATTAAAATTGTTTAGTGGGAAAGATCAAAGTTTATTTTTATTCACACACATTACCAAAAGCAAACAATCAGTATAATTGTTTTTTGTATATATTTGAATAAATACAAAGTGTTTCACTTGTAAGTTTTGTGTATTCTGCCATTGCATTCATCTAAAATAATTGTATCTAGTTACTCTCATGTTTTGTATATGTAATAATATTAATTTTACATACTTGACTATGCATTCTCAAAATTTTGAAAATACCTTTTCTAAGAAGTTTACTTTGTTTTAAATTCTAAATCTTTTAACCAACAGTACTTTGCCACTGTTTTTGTTTCAAAGTTATTAAGTTCCTATTCTCCTTTCACTGTGACTATTACATTTGTAATAATATTGTTATTATTTTCTGCAGTACTAGTGTATTGTACATAAGTGGTATTTCATTATAATTCTCCCATAAATTAATTCTCTGAGAAAGTGTTTTCTTTGAAATCTAAGACTGTTTCATGTTATTAATGTAATACAAAATCTCTAGCTTTTAAAAAAAGGTCATACACTAGATCATACCAGTCAAATTGTTTATTGTAATGTTTTAATAGCCTATACATATTGTCCAATTCATTGGTATATTTTTCGAAGTGGTAATTATTTTAATAGATTTGCATTTTCATGATTTTTACTGGAAATATAAAAATTAATGTGACAGATTGTTTAACTAATTACTTTATTGGAAGATGAATAACTCTTACATTTCATAAAATGAAAAGATTTTCATCATCTTACTAGGTCATTAATTACGAGTCTTAAGATACGATTCTTAGCAACCTGAATGTACCATGATACATACAAAGCTTTAGGCATGGCTCTTCATTATCTGTAACATCATCACAACAGTGGTGGCTGGAAAATTATCCAGACATTATTTTGGCATGCTACTTGCTTGAAACATACTTCAGACAGTGAGTTAATTACAAAGTACTGTTCATTAAATTTAGCTGAAACACCAAAGTACTATTCACACATTACCGTAGTAAGTGTTAATTCATTTGCTAACTGGAGTGTCACAAGCTTCTCCAGTTAATTTTACTGAAGGTACTTATCATAATTTGAAATCTGAACTTATATTAACAACTTTTTTTTTATAGAGTAACCTAAATTTGCTTAAGTTTTATATACTTGCTATTATTCCATTGTTATTTTTGCCATATTTATGATATCTTTGGTAGCTGCCAATGTATGTTTAAAGGAATGAATGAAATAAATAAAGGAATGACATTTCCATTAAACCAACAAATATAATTTGTGTAAAGTCAAGTTTTCCATGTTTCTCAAGATCAGTCCTATATTAGTGTTTTCTTGTATTTCAGTCTTTTGATAGTGTAGTATTTCGTGGTACATGGATTTCCAGCAGAGCAACATGTAGTGTCTTCTTAATAGGAGATATGGAAAATATTATGTTGAAGGGTAGGGATTCATTACCTTGAGAGCTCTGACTGAATTCATCAACAAGAAAAAGTCAATATACAAAATGTTCACAACAGCAATCATTGATGACAAAATAACACAATCAAATTACAAATGCAATACACAAACAAAACAAAATAATATTGTTGCAGTGGAACTGACAAGAGAGATAATATGAAAAGCTGCAGTCTTACAGAAAGCTGTCTAACAGAGGAGAGCCTAGTTTTAAATACTAAAATACAATAACATGAACAAACCCAGGCTGCTCACAGCATGCATCTTGTACATGTCACCTGGAACCATACACATTTGAGTTTAGGGGTGGGGAAGCTCCAGGACATTACATGATTTGCAGGCAGAAAGGCTACAGCTATCTTTTCTACAAGAGAATAATTAGTATATTCTAATCTTGTGCACAGCTAGAGTAAGAAAAAATTAAGTTGTTTACTTGAATGACTCTATGTGGCCAAACATGACTGAAAGAAAACAAAAGTTTCGAAAGATTGACATGCTGGTAGGGGGGGGGATGACAAACACATTTCCCTCTTCCTTTAATTCCAGACCAACCTAGTCAATCCTAATACACTTTAAGCATGTGTTACTCAATAAATTGAAACCTTTGCCCCAGTAAAAGTACCAGCATAACAACACTAACGTGTACAAAAGGAAAAACAACTTTACAAAACAATACAACAAAGTACTTTAAGAAAAATAACCTATTCCCTGTAGGAGAAGGTAGTATAACATACAGGTTAATAAATGATACCTGAAATAACCCCTTAAGAAAAGATACAACAATAACTTTTAAAAATAAGATACATAAAATACATTAAAGAAAACAAAAACCCTTTAACACAGAAAGCCTAGCCCTCTTAGAAGGGAATAGCTAACACAAATACACAACACCACAATAAAATAAGCTGGTACAGAAATACATAATAAAAATGGAAATATCCTTCATATGGTAGGACAGAAAACAAAAACAAAAGAAACTTTCCACTTATCTTGATGAAATATAAGCCAGATAATACCCAAAACATCTTAAAACTATAATACACAAAAACAATA